TATATATATATATTTTTTGGAAATATATTAAAATATTCGAGAATTCGGTTCGTAAAGTAAATTTCCTACGAATTTAATGGCAAAGTTAAATTTAATCTTCTTCCAGTTATCTATTAAATTTAATTACATCGGAAAAACATATTTGCTTTTACATAATGACTTATTGGAGCGCGGAGAAGAAGGGAGAGGGGAAATGTAATAATAATAATATTACAAATTCTTTTAATTATGGTAAAATAATAAATGCGATATAAAATGTACAGAATCAAATGGTATGGTGTTTATATTAAAAATGATCGTGAATTCGACATAATATTATCAATTATTTCTCGCATTGTGCTATGCGACAAAATTATATCATACACTTTAATCATTTTCTATAACGTGGTGTACAATCCATGCATCAAATCCTCACACAATACAAACAAACAAACAAATAAACAAATCGAAATCACTGTCGGAAAAAACCAATCCTTCGTGAAAATATTTATCAAAATTTTATGCGCACGCATTGAATATTAGAAAAATTCAAAATAAAAAGTATAAAAAGGAAGGAAGGAAGGAAAGGGAAAAGGTGGTGAGGGGGTTGGTTGGGTGGGGGCGAGACGAGGCGAGGAAAAAAACAATGAAGAATAGAAAATGGAATAGTCGTCGTTCCTCCTTCCCACCTCCACCCCACCCCGTTGCTCGTGTTATTTTCCACGTCGTTTGAAAAGGATGCAAGGATAGGTGATAAAGTTAGACGAACGTATATGGTGGTGGCCAATGGGAGTGTGTTATATACACCATCACGAGGAAAAGAATGAGAGTAGGATGAAAAGACCACCCACCCCCCATATCACCCCACACTCTCCTACCCCCCATACCATCCCACACTCTCCTACCCCCCATACCACCCCACACTCTCCTACTCTCCATACCATCCCACACTCTCCTACCTCCCATACCACCCCACACTCTCTTACCTCCCATACCACCCCACACTCTCCCACCCCTTGTGCGAATAGTTCGTCGTAGTGTGTAAAGGGAATACAGCTAGCTAGCTTATCGTAGTAATATCGAACTAGTTCGAATGCATTCGAACACGTTCGTTCATTCGTTCGTTCGTTCGGTTGAAGGTGGCACGTTACGAAACGACGATTCGAATTGACACGTGAGATGCTGTTCGGTGCAAACAGAAAGTGTGTGTGTGTGTGAGAGATAAAGAGAGAGAGAAAGAGAGAGAGAGAGAGAGAGAGAGAGAGAACATGGTATATATATGGTGCAAATAGAACACACAGGTATGCAGCTGTGTGATACAACCAAACAACCACCACCCACCCATCCACTCTCGTCGTTCCTCGTTTTCTTTCCATTGAACACCTGACATCCGATCGATATGCATTTTCGATACCACGCACATTTCCATCTTCACCTTCTTATTATTCTTTTTTCTTCTTTTTTTTCTTTTATTGTATTTTATATTACTTTATTTATACATTGTTTTTCATCACTACGATTTGTACTATGAATTAATAAGACAATATATATATATATATAGTTGAAATTGAATTTATAATTAATGAAATAAGTTTATTATTCATTTTACTTTTCCTTTTTTTTTTTAATCATATGATAGATGATAATAGAATTATTATA